ATTTCCCCATCCCCCACCTCCCACTCCACCCCAACACACACACACACACACACTCACACACTCTCCACTCCTTCCTGCTCCCAGAAAGGACTGTTTGCACAGACAGCACCCAGCACCTGGCAGGGGGCCGGGCACAGAATGGGGACCAATTCCTATTGGTTCGTTCAGTCCACAAATGTGCTCCTGTGTCCACGTGTGTGCTGAGCCCTGCTTTGGGCCCCAGAGATTCCCAAGTCAGGCAGAGCCATGGGTTCCTGCCCTAGCCAGGCGATGAGAGATGGGGAGGCAGCTGCACGGAGGAGCCGGCCTCCAGACTTCAGGGTCCCAGTGGGGCCCCTCCTCCCTCCCATCACAGCTGCATCGGGCTACAGCTTCCACAGCTCCCACCTCCAGCAGACAAGGACACGGACAAGGACTAGTCTCTGAACGCCTGGCTGGGAGGGCTGGGCCTGGGTGAGGGCGGAGGGAACATGGCAGCCCTTCATCAGCCCAGAGACTCAGGACAGCTTCCCCAGGGGCCACTCACCTGCCACCAAGGGCCCTCTCCTCCCCCATCTCAACCCCACATCTGGTAGGCCTGGTCCAGTCTGGTCTCCCCACACCCCCTCACTAGGGCCTCCGAATCTACCCCTTCCCCCAGCCCTACCCATGACCTCTCCACATACCCACCCACATGGTGAGGCTGTGGCCTGAGGCACCTCCGAGGGAGTCAGCCAATCCCTCCCTACCTCGAAGAGCTGGGAAATACCCCAGGCAGTGTCGTGGGCTGTCCCTGGAGCATGTGTGGGCGTCCCCAAAAGGAAGAAGAGGAAAGGGCTAGCCAGGCCTCTGCAGGAACTACCACCCCCACCTGCCCGCTTCCTGCTGTGACTGCTGGGAGCAGGCAGGCAGAGGGAGGGAGGAGGGGGCACGCCCACAGCAGAGCAAGGACTGTGCCCTTGGGAAGAGGGTTAGCGAGATGCCGGCTCGTTTCCTCCAGGTGCCCTTCAGGTGTCTGGGGACAGGCCATTCCTGAGCTGACTTGGGGACCCAGAGGAAAATGACTCCTGGCATGTGGGAGGTGGTGGGGAGACCTGCCTTGCACCCCACCCCCAGACACTAGGAAAGGCCTTGAAGGAGGTCAGGTGCAGACCAGGGGACCCAGGGAGGCACCACTGGGCAGCTTTTCCTTGCTAAGGGCTTACATTTTTTTTAATAAGTTAAAGTCACAGGAGGCAAAGAATGAGGGCTCCATGGTGAGGGGAGCAGATCCCCAGGCCCCAAAGTGGGGTCCACCACAGGCAGCCTCCCGAGCGCTCCTCACCCTCGGAGCCTTGTCTTCTTTTAGGTAAAGTGAGGGCTGAAGTCCCTACAGTCAAATCCTAGCTCTTACCTTCCCACCTTTTCTTTCTCAACAAGCCCCTGGAGCCCCCGGGTGGGTAGAGGGGGACTGGGCCTCTGGAAAGGACACCTTCTATGCAAAGGTATAACTTTGGCCACACCAGACACAATTTAGCCAGCAATTTTCCAGGACAAATGGTTGTTTTGGAATTCCACCCCTGGATTCCCAGGTGCCATCAACTTAGGGCAAACCTGGGATTTCCCAAAGGCCTCTGGGTCCGGGGCCCGAGGTCTAACAGCCAACATCAGGCTGCTGGGGGGAAGCTGGGGAAGCAGTTCCTCCTCCAGTTCAGCCGTGTCCCCCTTCAGTCCCTCTCATGACCACTTGCTTTCACCCTCGTGACATTCCCCGGTTCCTGCCTCAGTCACAAAGACAGCAAAGGGATCCCTTAGCTGCTGCAGCAGGAGCCAGGCTCCTGGCCACGTTGGGGGTCTTCTCCTGGGGTATGGGGCTGGGGTCTGGGGGGACACCTAGCTCTAGATCAGGGACAGTCTGACTTGAAGCCAAAGGCCTGGCTGCAATCCCAGCAGTGCCACTCACAGTGGGGTGGGGTAACTCTCTGGGCCTCAGCTTGCTTCTCTGTAAAGTGGGACACTATTCAGCCGGCTGGGTGGATGGGAGGAGGAGGAGATGGCCAACTTGGGTGTGTTTAGGGGCTGTGAAACTTTGCATGATGGGCGTGCACAATGGGCGTACAGACTGCCCTTGGCTGGTGGAAGGAACCACGTGCAGCAATCAACAGAAGCACAGGGTTCTGAGGGCTCTCTTGGACCAGGGCAGACAAGCCCCTCTGGGCCTGGAGGAAGCCCACTCAGCCACTCCCTGTCCACCAGAAGTGAGCCACTGTGATGCCCATCTCCGCAGGGAGACCGGCATGGGGAGGACTTGTCACTTGGTGGGACAGGTCCAGTTCAGGGTAAATAAGGGGCGAGCAGGTGGGCAGGGCCACCCTTCCCAGAGCAGGCTTCCCCCTACTCAAGAAAACCAAAGTGCAGTCCCTGAGATCAGCCCAGCCAGAGAGAACAGCAGGTTTGCACAGTGCCCTCCGGCCTCGGCCCCTGCCATGGAGGGGCTTCCTGGGCCAGGGAGGCGGCTGAGGGAGGGAAAGGGCCTCCGGGCAGGGGTCAGGCTGCCCACCCGCTGGGGTCTGACCCACCGTGGCAGGCAGGGACCTGTGAGGACACTCGGGCTCTACTTACGCTCCATCCCCGTACACCTTGACGGCGTTGACACAGTTCTTGGTCCAGCCCCGACTCTGCAGGAAGGGACAGTCGTCCTCGAACTCCAGGCACTGGCCCGTGAAGTTGCAGCCCTCGAAGACTTCTAGACGGAAATGCTCCCCATGCTGCGGGCCCCCCAGGAGTGGAGGAAGGGAAGGGAAGAAAGGGAACTGGGCTGTTTCCCCCCATAAACAGAAGCCCATGTGGGCAGGAGCTGGGAGCACCAAGAGTTCCTGGGTCAGGGGAGGGGGTGGTGAGTGCCCCCCAACACACGCACCTCAGCCCAGAACTTCTGCTCCTTCTTGTACGTGAGATTTGGTTGGATAAGAGAGTCTATTACTTTAAAGATTCAGAGCCCCCAGACCAGTCTAATCTCCTCCTCCTTCAACTAAAGAATCCAAGGTCCAGAGAAGGCCAGACCACCTGGGACAGCGGTGCCCTCCAACTGGTCTGGGGCCCTGGGCTCCCTCCTGGTGTGCAGGCGGGGGGGCGGGGGGGGGCTCCTGCCCAGACACGCCAACACATTCCTCTGCCGGTCACCCACCCCTGGGCTGCAGGCCATGGGCAGCCTTTAAATGATAATATTTTACAAACTGTAATAGAACCTTTTATTAAAACACGAAGCCAAAAATTTAAAACAAATAACAGAGATCTCATGCGCTGAAATCCCTGCTGGCTCACTGGGACGAGGACATATATCTCCTAGAAGATTTCCTGTATTTCCAGAAGACAGAGGTGGGCCAGCTCCCAACTGGCTCTGGCGCCGGCAGGGGCTGGGGCTGCGCCACAGCTGGCCCCAAGGATAGCTCTTACGAGAACAGCATTCAAAAGATACCTAGGATAGTTTCCTTACAAATAGCATTATGCAAGCACTGGGCCAGCCACGTTCATTTCTTTTCCCAAATGTCTGTGACCTGGTGGAAATACTCAGAAAGGCTTCTTAAAGGCCACAGAGAGGCCAAAGCCCAGCTGGTTTTGCAACCTCTGTAGAGAAGAGAGGGGCCTCCTCCCCTGGGAGTCCTCAGATGTTCGTCCAGGGGAGGGTCCTCCTGCAGACTCTCTGATGAGAGACTCTAGGACGGTTTCGGGAATCGGCCACTTCCCACCCTACCCTCTGGGGCTCGCAGCGGGTCAGTTAGGACTTGTAACTTGAGAGAACTTGAGGAAGGGGAATGCCCAGTCCTCACATCCCACCCTAGGAGCAACTAGACTCGCACAGTCCTTTGCCATGGCAGGGGTGACACACCTCACTTGCTTTCCTACATGCACTGGGCTGCACTGTGAATTGGTACCACCTGCTGGCTCCTGCCCCCAAATCCCCGCTGGCCAGCCAGTGATACCTAAGCCTCCTCCATCAGCCACTCCACGATCCAGCATCAAAAGGCCCCTGAAAAGTGCTACAAGATGACCTGCCTGGTGGATACACCAGGCCCACATCAGCCTTACTTTAGCTGAATGCTCCCCCATCTGGTTGCAAATTCAAAACTCTAATGTTACCAATAGCATTTGAAGTGGAAAATTCAGCAAGATTTTGGCATCAGAAATTGAAAGTGGTTTCCTGATACAGGCCTGAAAATGCAGGCGTGAAAACTCCCAGGGGCTCTCCAGTTGGGTCCCCAGGCCATCCCTCAGACACAGGAGTAGCTGGGTCTGGGTGGGGACAGCTCTCCATCTTAGAGATCCCACGGTCTCATCCGTTCTTAAAGCTGGGAGGGCCATGCCCCCTGATTACTCAACCCACGTCTGACCGGGCCTAACCAGGCCAGGGTCACTCCGGCAGGAAGCCCCCACCCCAGCCAGCTAGAGCGGCTCGGGCCCACTCACCATGCCCACAGGCCGACAGGAGCCCATGTGGTCGTTGTGACCGTTCCAGCGGTAAAAATCAGGGTAGTCGCCATGCTCCAGGACGAACTGCTGGCCCCGGAAGTCGGGGTGGTCGAAGCAGACCCAGGCTCCACTCTCCACGCGGACAGAGTTCACCCGGTTCATAAAGCCTCGGTCCTGGAAGTTGTCACAGTCCCCGAAGACCTCCAGCTTCCGCCCTGTGAAGTGCTTGCCCTCGTAGAGAGTGATCTAGAAAGACCAGGTTAGAGGGCATGGGGTGAGGCTTCTCTCCTTTCAGTTTTGGAAATGGATGCATGGGGCCCAACACCCTCGACTGAACCCTGACCCTCAGGCCCTGAAGCCTAGACTCGCTGCATACACCGGGTGCTCAACGCTGTCTGTTGCCTGGGTGAAAGAATGCACGGATGGAGGGTCGAGGTCAGGCCCAGCGCCCAGCCCGCCCGCTCCGGGAGCCCACGGTTGAACAGACAGATTGCAGAAGATGCATGGGGACAGGGATTTCCCCTTTGTCCAGGAGCCCATTGAAAACAGGCTCTTTTCAAACTCGCACTGCACTTTTCAAACTTAATTTTTGTTTATCAGTGAAACATAACATCCAAGGAAATGTTTTCAAAAGAAAATGCTTCACCCACAACCCACCATTACAACCCAATATTCAGTTTTCAGAAAGTCAGGTTCCTGGGATGGGGCCCCTTAACTGGAGGGACTGGATCCAACCAAGCCAAGTCGGGGCCTGGTGCAGGATTAATGGCTCAAAAGAGGACTTTTTCAATGTCACCCCGTCCCTTTGTTTACTAGGCCACTCCTTTGGGTGACAGGCATGTGTCAGACCTGGAGCTTTTCTAACCCAGCGGTCAGTTCAGACACCATATTTTGGGGACGGGTACCCAAACTAAATAATATGAACCAGATGGTAACTAGATTTATCATGGTGATCATCTGGTAATGTAGAAAAATATCGAATCACTATGTTATACACCTGAGACTAATACCATCTTGTCAGTCAATTATACTTCGATAAAAACAAATAAAACAAAAACAAAAAAATATGAACCATATGAACCTCCAAACTCAATTTCTGCAGAGGAACCTAGGATTCTAACCATTCAATAACTCTCTGGGTTTCAAGAATTGTGCTCCTAGAAGAGCCCTGGCAAAGTAATGTCCCCTGGGGCCCAGGAACTGTGGTCATTGTGTGTACTGTTCCTGGTGGTAGAACTGCCCTTCTGGCCCCCTGGAGTTAGGTGAGACCAGATGCTTTGGCCAAAGGGATGTGTGCAGACATGGAAGCCTTGCAGATCAGACACTGTTTCTCGGCTCTCCTTCCCCTCTGCTGATATCAAGGTGTCCCTCTGCAGTACAGAAGAGGGTGTATGGGCACAGTGCGGGTGAGCTTTTGGGGTTGTTTGTTACTGAGGCATAACCCAGCCCATGCAGACAGATACAGTAATGCTCTCACCCACTAACCTTGAACATAGCTCCTTGAGACCAAAGTCTGCCTCAGATTAGCTAAGACAAGGAGCTAGAGAAGGGGAGAGGTCCAAACTGGCCACTCTTCCTGCACAAGGCAAGTCTGAGTGAGGGCTCCCTGTCCCCTAGATATTCAGGACACCTAATCACCCACAAAATTCAAAGGTCCCTCAAATCTAAACATTTTGCTGAGAACCAGCCCCAAGTGCCCCTGAGGAGATCCTGAGGAAGCAGCAGCCACGTTAGAACAGCCTCAGGCAAATAAGTGGGACCCACAGCTGCAGGAGAAGTCCAAGGTCCCCCACCCCAACCAAGGTGCCCCTCAGGTCTGACCACCCTCCCTGCTCCTGACTCTAGGGGGTGGGGCTGGGCGTGGGGGTGGGGCCCCAGAGCCAGGGCTGGAGGGACTGGGGCAGAGACCTTCCCACTTCTTCCCACCTCCCACAGCAGGGAGGCCCTCAGCCTTCTGTTTTAAGAAATTTAGCCAGCTTTCCTCGGGTTTGGATGCAAAGGGCAACAAGCAACAGTCTGCCACTCCCCCCCGGCCCCGCCCCCCATCCTGAGCCCAAAGAGCAATGGGAGGGGGTGTCTCCGCCTCCCCCCAGGGCCCCGCGGTTACCTTGGGCGGCGGATGGACGGGACAGGAGAGGGCGGAGGGCGGCACTCACCTTCCCCGATCGCTGCGCCATGGTGCACCGCCCTGCCGCCCGCGGGGCCCCAGATATAGCGGGCGGCGCCCTGCTGGCTCAGCGCCGCCCCGACAAAAGATTTGCTTGGCCGGCGCGTTCGTGCTGTCGGGCGCGCTAAGCCCGGAGGGGCCGTCCCGCCGGTGCGACCCAACCCACCCCCGCCAGGGGTCTCTCCGGGACTCACGGGGGTCACTGTGCCCCGCGAGCCCAGGCAGCCCCCTAGGGGTCCTCTCTCTCTGATCCCAGCCCGACTGCTGTCCCTGCTGAGTCAGGACCGCCCGCGGAGTCTGCGAGCTCCCCTGGCCCTCCCTCCTCAGCACAGAGCCTTCCCCGACCTCCCGCCACCCCTTTTCTCACCTCCTAATCCAGGCTCACATTGCTCCTGAATTCTCTCTCTGCGTGAAGGATGGAGCCCTGCCTGGGAGGACAGAGAGAGAGCCACCTACAGGCCCCCTGCCTGCTGTTCTTCTGGTGGAACCCAAGTTCATGTGCCCCCACAGTGAGGCCAAACACACAGAAATGTTGAACTTTGGATCAGAAAAAGGTTTATTGCAAGGGCCATGCAAGGAGAACCAGGCAGTTCATGCTCAAAGGGCCCCAACTTCCTGATGGGTTTCAGGAAAGAGTTTTTACAGGCCAGGTGAGGAAGGGGAGTTGCAAGGTATATGATTAGATGGTGGACAAGTCTCCGATTGGTTGATGGTGAGGTAACAGGGTGATGGGTGTCGCAGAGGTTAACATTATCCATTCTCAGGCTCCAGTAGGTCTGGGGGCTATGGGCTCATGGTCATCAAGTAGTTAGCTTCTTCCATTTGGTGGGGGATATAGCATCTGTAAAACTACTCAGGAAGTGTGCATCAGATACATTACCTAGGTACTTCAGGGAGGAACTAAGGATTCTGTGACTGCCTTATGATTGATTTACTGTTTAAATTCTTACCAGTGCTCCTGGCGCAACTGCTGTATTTATCGCTGCATGTTCACATCCTTTCAATCATTAATTCTAGGGCTGGGCTTTTGTGACTCAGGGGAAACCTGGAAGATTACAGTTTTTCTATGATCAAGAGGCACACAGAAGTCATGGGGGGAGGGGTCTGTCCCAGGAAAACCCCATAGGGTCCTGTCTGGTTACACTCTGGGCTCCCACCCCCACCTTAAACGTTCTGCTCCAGCAGCACCCAAACCCTAGTCCACCCTCCATATCTCCCTGTGAGGTTGTGGTCCTGCAGACTCCACTCCTGCTGTCTTGCCTCCCAGAACACTGTCCTTCTACCCCTCCCCCCAGGGTCAATGCTCCCCCTTGATTCCTTGAGGTTCCACCTGCCCCGACCTGAACCCCCTCGCCGGTGGGCACAGTGCTCTGAGCTCAGACCACCCTGGACATGGCAAGGACGGGTTTACAGAAACACGCAGCCCCACCCCAGCGTGGGACTTTCTCAGGACATAAGAAGTTCTTGGCACATAACAAAGGCTCAAAGATTGTTTGTGGAGTGAACAGAGTCAACAATGAGGCCGCAAGATGAGCAGCCCCCAAATTGCTGGGAAGATGAGACATGTATGCAGAGAACAATGCCAGGCGGTTAGCTAGGGCGAGGGGCCAACCCTGAGATCCAAGAAGAGAGCTTATTCAAGCAGGGGTGACCCCAGGGGCTTCAGAGAGGACAGGGAGGGGCCATGGGGAATAGTCCAAGTTGCCATCGGCAAAGTAGATTTTTTTTATCATTCCACAGACAGCTGCTCCCCTCCCATTTCGGTCCCACCCTCACATACCTCCTCCTTCTACAGCCTCTCCCTAGGGAGTATCAGCCCCCCATGACCCCCAAGTCAGGGTCTCTAACCCAGACTGCTCTCCTGAGCTCCACAGCTGAGGACCCAGCTGCCTCCTGGACAGCTCTGTCCACTCAGATGCCACAGTCCTTTAAGATCAAGATATTTGAAACCTGATTCATCTTCTTCCTCTGAAACGCACTCCATACCCTGCCT